CCCCAAAACCCCAAAACCCCATCATTAACTATTTAATGAGCTGATTTGCAATTTAATTCAAGATTCAAAATAAATAAAATTTCTGATATAAATTGTATTAATAATAGTAGTATTCAATGCTAAAGGGAAATATTCAAGAAGACAAAGAAATTGATTTAGATTTATAGGATTTGAACTAGAATTAAAAATATAATTAACTTGAAGAAGACAAAGACACAATTTAGGATACCACTACCTCGATCCAAGATGAAACCTAGAATTTGGATAATTAAAATTTAGAAAGGACCTCATTTATTGAGAAGTTAAAAGTTAAAATAGCTCCTGCTCTAGGCCTAATAATCATGATATTTGGCATATTTTTCCTGATTACATGTCTAATTGCATTTAAGGAACTTAATCGAGTAAATTCAAATTTCACTTATATTGAACTTCTGATGGTCAGAGGTTATTCGTAGATAATTTTCTAAGGTCTCTTATTTAAGGCTTTGAAAATTGAAATAACAGGGATAAGCAGGGATTAACATAAACTAATCACTTTGAGATCGCTATTATCTTTGTTTAACATGTGCTTGTACTGGGGCTCAATTATTTATATTCCTCTTGGAGTATCTTCTTCTATTTACCAGCTCTAACCATTTGTGACTCTCATTGTAGGCTACTTTTGGATTGGTGAGAAACTTCCTAAGGTTGAAATATTTAATATGTTATGCGCTTTTTCAGGAGTTATGCTTATAATATACTCAGCTAAACTTAACAGTCATTATGAATCAGAGGATGGTAATTAAGACAATAAGGAAGCCAATACATTGGTTAAATATGATCTACATAAAATGCTGTTGGCTGCAATTGTCAATTTTATTAGTGCATTCATTGGAGGGACAATGTTTGTTGTGCTCAGAAAATTGAAAAAGACCCATTTTACTATTGTTAATGGGCATTATGCTCTTGTTATAGCATTTGTATCGTCTGTGATATGGATAATTTTCAGATATAACAACCAAGATCCAATTAAATACAACTTTGATTCCTACTAATATATTTTGATTATCATTATAAGCTTTACTACAGCTTTGGGAAATATGGCACCTACATTAGCTGTAAGGTATGATAAGGCAAGTAGAATCTCATCTGTTAATTTCTTAATGGTGCTTGTATCATATTTGGGAGATGTTTTCCTATTTGGTTATTAAACTCATCCTCTAGAAGTTATGGGAGCAATTATTATTATCATTTGCTCAGCTATTACAATGATTCTTAAATATACAGGATATCTCTAATGATTTTATAGATTAATTAAAATTTCTTATTTCATTAATCCATTTTATTTCATTTTAATGCGGGGTTTTGGGGTTTTGGGGTTTTGGCA